CAGAAGAATTTTAAGCCTATTCGAAGCCTGCCTAACAAATAGATTGGCATCTGTATTTATAACTGAGCTTCTGAATTGTTGGAGACATCTTTCAGGCATCTTCGGCGCAATTTCCGGCTTTTAAAAAGATGCTTTTGACTTTTGTGACTGAACCTGACTGTAGATGAATAGTGATTTACTATTCTTGTCGTTTGTGCCGACAGTTACTGTAGATGAATAGTACTTTTGTCGGGGAACTGTAGAAATAGTGTTTCTGCCGACAGGTACTGTAGCAAATATTAACTTTTACTTACTGTAACAAATTGAACTTACAATGGATTTTGACTATATTGGAAAAAGGGATTAGAGTATGGATCCCTTGGGTGACTTGATTCAGTAGCGGAAGAGGCATCATCAACTTCATTATTGTCTTCTTCCTCTTGGGATAGATCTTGGATGCGGTCAATGATGGATGCTGCCAATTCTTTAAGCTCTGCAATTTCTGATTTGGGAGGCCTTCTGGATCTGGATGTGTTCACAGAAGATGACTGTTCTGGCTTACTTTGTTTGATGACTTGATCTTGTGCTGGATTGACTTGGATATTTTTTGGATATTCATCTTCAACATAACCTATAATTCTGTCAAACTAGAAAGTCTCCCACCATTTGACATAATGTCGTCGAATGGCTACGTTGTTTTAGATATCATATTGCCATTTGAATATCCATGGGACCTTGTACTTACAAGAGAAGAGAAGAAGAATTAGGAATTGAGAATTATGTTTGTTAACTTTGTGAACTGTATGAAAATATTTGACTTGTTCGGCAAGAGTGAGTGGAAGGATTTCTAGAATAGTTCCATGTTGTGACCACCATTTCAAAAACCAAGTTAGGATTTGACTTTTGAATTTGTTGTCAAAATTGATAAACCAAAAATGAGTGAATGATTCATTTTAGTGTAACAAAATTGTTGACCATGCTGCCATATAATCATAGTAATTGAAATGAATTTCATGATTAGGCAGGGGTTGAAGCAAAGAGGGATGAATACCCCATTCGTCCATGGAAATGATCCGTTGGATGTCTAGGGAATGATAAATGACTTTGATTGGATCATTGCGATCTGGTATTGACTTGATAAGAATGGAGTTAGTATGGTAGAGAATATCTCTGTAAAAGGCTAGTGTCTTGTGGGGATGATTTGGGCAGAAATGGAGGTTACCTGGGAAATAGGATCTCATTAAGGTGACTGGATCTTTTATGTGACTGAGGTGTGGTTTAATATAAAAAAGGGGAATATAAGGTTTTTCAAAATAATCACTGGCTGACTTTTTTGGAAGCGGATGGTAAGGTTGTTTTACTGGGGCTTTGATTTGAAACGGATCTGGTGGAGGGTTAACTAGGGCTGACTTGAAATTGGATTCTGAGGTAAGGAGTCGGAATCTGTTAACCATTGCAAGAGCAGAGGAAGACGATTCTTGTTTAACTGGGAGGCCACAAGGGGCGCCTGGGCATATTTCAAATGGCTTAACTGGTTGCTGCCCCAGGGGAGGGTGTCTGGGAGGTTGTTTGTTTGCCATTGGGTTTTTGTAATAATTCTCTAGTGAGAAAATCTGGAATAGAATTGTCACTGCCTTTGATATATTCTATATCAAAATCAAATATACTTAAAATAGCTTGCCAGCGGGCAAAAATCTGTTTAGAAGCAATATTTTGAATATCTTTTTCCAAAACATATTTTGCACTTTGACAATCAACACGAACCAAAAATTTTTGATTTAAAATATCATCCTGAAATTTACTGATACATAAAACAATAGATAAAATTTCTTTTTTAATAGTACTATAGTTACTTTGTGCATTTGTCCAAACACCAGAATGGAAATGAATTAATTGTTCGGGAGCATCTGGACTAACTTTTTGTTTGAGGATGCCACCATAGCCAATATATGAGGCATCGGTTTCAATAATCTTGAAGGAATCAGGATTAGGGATTCCAAGACATGGCAAAGTCTTGACATAACGCTTTATGGATTTGACGATATTAGTATGAATGGAAGTCCATGGAGGAGGATTACTTTGAAGACGATCAAATAGTGGTTTACATTGCTTTCTGAGATCGTTGTAGAAATCAGCAATATAATTAAGAGATCCTAAGAATATCTGGAGTTGAGTTTTATCAAGAATTTCATCTGGGAATTTATCGGCAAACTGGAGTGACCTATCAATAGGACGAATTTGTCCTTGATGGATGTGGTAACCGAGAAATCTGACTTTGGTCTGGAATAGTTTGATTTTCGAGGCAGAGACTACAAGTCCATTTTTCTTGATGGTAGCTAGAAACGATTTCAAATGTTTCCAATGTTCATCAATTGACTGTGAAAAAAGCAAGATATCATCAATGTAGACGATCGAAAAATGACTGTAGGGATTGAAGATGTCATTCATGATATTTTGAAATTCACTCGTGGCATTTTTTAGTCCGAAAGGCATGACCTTCCACTCATAATGTCCAAATGGAGTGGTGAAAGCAATTTTATATCTATCTTTCTTTCTAAGTCTAATTTGCCAAAAGCCTGACTTCATATCAAACTTAGAGAAAACAACTGCTTGACTTAACCTGCTGATAAGATCCTTTTTGTTAGGAATAGGGTATCTAATCCATTTTAAAACCTTATTGAGAGGTTTATAATTGATTACTAACACCTCTTTCTATTTCAGAGTTTTTCTCAACATAAAAAGCTAGGCATGACCATGGTGATTTGCTTTTCCGAATGATCTTTTTGTGAAGAAGATCAGAAATTTCTTTTTTGCAGAATTCCATTACTTCTGGATTCATTTGGATTGGTCTTGCTTTAGTGGAGATATGTTTTTCTCGAAACCCTTTAATGTAAGGTAATTTAACCGAGTGCTTTTTGCGGTGCCAAAAGCAGTTGGAATATTAGAACAGACTTAGTCTTTTATTTTTTGTTCAAAATTTTGGATTTTTTGTTGAAGAATTGGGTCAGCTAATTGTGAATCGATTCGCTTAAAATTTACTTCTTCTTTTAGAAATTTTAATTGTTGGGTTTTGCTATGAAGTAGATTGGTTGATTTGGAAACAGAGAAATTAATGACTGATTGTAATTCTTTACGGGAAGGATGACTTAAGAACTTAAATTGGACCTCTTGTCCAAAAGGCCAGGTTACTAGTCCTTCATTATTAGTTGTGAATGGATATAAAAGATAAATAAATGGTACTCCTAAAATTAATTTGTCAGTCATATTTTTAACTAAGACTAATGATGTTTTAAAGCACACATTGTTTTGACAAATATGAGCCTTAGACAACTTGTATTTTATAACCATTTTACTTCCGTTGGCTGAACTTAATTGTTCAGTGGTTTTTTCATAATACTTGGTTGGTATAAGACCTTCTTGAATGCAATTAAGATCAGTTCCTGTGTCAATCAAAGCAATGACATACAATATTATTAACTTAAAATGATATTTTAATTTGTTAAGGATTTTTTGTTCTGATAAACCATCTATATTCCACTCATAGAACTTATCAGAAGAAACAGAAAATTGATTTTGAATGTTTCTTTCCCCATATTGTAAATCAGGAGGAGTTGGCCGAGGGTACCAGTTTTTTGTCAGGCTGGTAGGGTTGACTCGTTTGTTAGAAATACAATTGAGTTCTAGATTTGAGAAGGCATTTTCAATAGCTTTGATTTCAGATGTATAAGTAGAATATGAGGGAGATTGATCAGAATCAGTATTGGTATGTATTACAGTGACTGATTTTTCATCCTTAACTTTGGCCTTGCCTTTTTCGAGTGTCTTGAGAATGGTTTCAATTTGGAAAACAATAGAAGGGTCTGGAATAGCTGCGGGAAGTCCTTTCCGTTGAGTAGGCATGGAAATTAGAGGTTGTTCTATTATGGGAGGAGAAGATTCTTTAGAACGAGCTGGCTGGGTAATTGTTACTTCAAGTTTGTCTAACTGTGTACCAATAGTGTGAAGGTATTGATTAGTGAAATTGTTTTGTTCGATTATTTTCCGAACATCGGGGTCAGAGGTATTATTGATCTTAAGGGGAGAGGCAATAATTTCGGTTCCCATGTGATCTAGGATGACCGACTCCAAGGGAGGATGAGTAGAAGAAACTGTTGTTTTATCAGATTTAGTCCAATTAATTTTTGTTAATACGTTAACCTTCTTATGATAATTTTCTAAATAATCAAAGAAATAGACTTCTAACTTGTGTTCAAGCATGAATTTTTGCCATTTGCGAAGAATTTTATTTTTTTCTTTATCAATGTAATTATTATTAAAGGTTTTTCTTTTTTCTTTGTCATGTTTTGAGTCATATTCTTTTTGTAATTTGGAAGATTATATGAAAAAGGCTTACTTATAGTTGTTAACTGGGGATTAATGGGATTGAGACGTGCCTCAAAATCTGTGGGAGTAGGTGAACTTGGGGAGGAATTTAATTCCCTATTATCCTATATATAACAAGGATGATTAACTTGATCTTCTGTCTTTAAACCTTCTAGTTTGATATCTTTTAATTTTGAATGTGGATTAGAATTTTTCCTAGGTAGGGGAGGAATTTCAGCCTCTTTTCCTAATAAACTACTATCTGATCTATGAAAAAAAGTAGAGGGTCTAGATCTAGTCAGAAAACGCTGTGCATCAAAGATTATTCTGACCGTTCCATCAAGGAATTCCTGGACTCTATCAAGGTTACTTATGTCATTATCAATTTTTGCTGGATGATTCTCATTTTGGAGAATCCATTCGTTGGGTAACGAAATGTCTTTCCAGGCAATTGTTTTTTTTATCTGAATATTAGCATCAGAAGTGCTGCTTTGGATTAATAAAGTGTGACCTTTCATTTTCAGGTCTATAATGATAGTTTATTTTTTTTCAATTTTATGTATTATTTGACTATATTACTGCCTTGCTCATGAATTAAAAAAAACTTCAACTGCTATTGTCCATATTTCAAAATATTATTTTTTTTCCTCAAATTTTAGGTGTACTTGTTCAGAAGAGAAACTGCTTGGAAATGAGTGGAGTAGGGAAAATAATGGTATGTTTTTGAGACAATTCTTTTGTTAGTTAAGCATGCTGTATTGTATTTGTTGTATTTCTCATGTATTTGAAACTACTCTGAAAATTATTTTTATTACTTTTTTTTAAAGGATGCTATATTTGTTGTCATTCTCATTTATTTGAAACTATTCTGAAAATGATTTGTATTAATTAGTCAAGACTTTTTTATAAGGATTTTGGGAAAATATTATTAGGGTTTAGAGATATTTACGGGAGTTATCTTTTTTATGGTATGTGTTTGTTGTTGATCTTTGATGACTCATAGAACATCTGGTTGGATCATATACTTATTTATGTTTTGATTACAGATGCTTTATATCTGCTATGTTTGGAAAAAAAAAAATTGAGTATCATGACTCTGTTTTTGAGTTATTTTTCTTCAGTTCTTTTATGTTTTCATTTTATTTGCTGTAATGTCTGAATCTCTGGCTGCTTGTGTTTCATTGTCATTTTGAGGAACCATTTGCTATATTCGGAAACTATTTTTGCTATATTCGCTTACTGATTATTATTTTAATGCATGTTGTGTGTAGGCTCATAGAAAATTTTCATTTGTGTTTTGGTCTCTGAATCTGGCCTCCTACTTGTGTTTTCAAGTTGGTTCTCTATGTTTTTTTTTTTTATTTCATTTTATTTGTTGCTATGTCTAAATCTATGTATCATTAACAAGCACTCCCAAACAAACCAAGCTTAGACACTAAGAATTTGATTTCCAAACAATGTATTAGTCAATCTGATGTATTTATTAGCAAGCATAATTGAATATTTCATTCCTTAGATCAACTAAAGTATGAGACTTATTATTTGCTGTAGAGTTATTCAGCGATGCAGAATTTGAGTACTAATAGTATATTCAGTGTAATGTTTTTATTAACAAGCAGATATTCTATTCTATTCATTATCTCATGTAAGTAAAAGATTATTCTTCCTTGTATGCTTTACGCAGCGAAGCAAAATTTGTGTACTAATACATATATATTTTTTAATTTATTTATTTACAATCAGAATTTGATATTCAATTCCTTAGATCTGGTTTGTGGCGAAATCTTCAAGGGGATGAAAATAAACTTGTGAATGTAATGCTGACTGAAAAAATGTTGTATTTGAGAGAGAGCGAGAGGATAATTCACTCATTTGATATAATGGTGTATTTCTTTCATTTCTCTCTTTTTCTTCTTCCATTGATTGATGCTTCCTTGGTGGTTAATTTAAAACCTCAATTTCCACTTCTCTCTACTTGGGCTCCAAGTACTACTTGTTTCTTGATCTCCTCTCAGATTTCTGTTTCTTATATATATATATATATATATATATATATAAATATATATACATGTGTATTTAGTTATAATAGTGTTTCACAAAAATGTATTCACCCTTTATTTTTTCTTTTCATTTCGACGGACTTAGAACATATATTAGTTATCATTGTGATTGAAATATAGCTGTAACAATTCTGTACTATCGAGAGAGAAAGGTGATCTTTCCGAACTATCGGAAATTATACTTTGTGGTAACAAGTAAAGGAGCACTACTACCTCATCAGTTTGCAGTAGTTGTGGGAGGACACTACTGGCACGGTTTTTCTACTGAAATTAGAATTTTCATTGATTCTGCTGCATCTATTGTTTGCTATTATTTCACATGAAATCACATTGTCTATTCAAATAATCACTTAAATTAATCACCCAAAATTGAACTTTTAAGAATTCAAATATCTAATGAATTCCATGTTAATTACCCCAGACTAAATCTTTATTTCTTTGTTACACTTATTAATCATAAAATCCCCTGGACTTGGTCTTAATACTTTATTTTCTGATTTTCTGCCGGGCATTCCTTTATTGCTTCAATGAATATTGGCGTACAACACATTTTCTCAAAAGTTAATTGGCTTGTAGATTTGCGTTATTCTTTGAACTCAAGATGTTGAAGTGGAAATTTGCTAGAATCGATTGGAGCAATGATTTCTTTTAGAGTTCATTTTAGATGATGAGTCTTTCTTTATGTTCCTTTATTGTTTCTTTTCATTTGCAGACTTAGAGCATGTCTGTTGCTTATATATATACATTCCATTGGCTAAATGAGCTTTACTACTGGACAGTTGCCCATCTGATTGGGTGACTTCCACATAAAGTGTAATTTTTTTTTTTTTTAAATTACATGTTTGGAAATTGTAGAGACCCGAGTTACAAGAGACTCCTAAAATTCTCCTCCTAAATTTTTTTAAGAAAAAACCCTACATATATACAATTGTATAAAGACATACTCACTGACAATAGGCATATATAGGGTTACAACTCTGATCCAAACGATTTGGATTGTGATCCGAATGATGATTCGGATTCAGAATTGGATTCCGGGTCGGATGGATTCAAGGTGTTTTTTTTTTTTTTTTTGTCCTTTTTTTCTCTGTTTCCTAATTTTGTACTAAATTTCTTTCAGCATGCCATAAGACAGTTGCTGACCTAGACCAGAATGTGGAACAACTGGACTTTGAAATCGAAGTTCAATTGTGGGAAGCAGCGAGCAAGGTGATGACGTAAAGTTATGGACGATACTGTTTATGGAGCAACTGGATACTACCGGGATTATCAAAATGTTTGCTGTAATTGATGTTGCGGGGCTTATTAATTTGATTAATTGGATGCCGGAGGCCATTGCTGGAGTTCACCGAAAGAATTCAAGTTCATAATTGGCAATTTAGTCTTATATGGCAGGGTAGTTCCCATGTTTCTAGCCTGGGAAACATTTGTGCATTTAGAGTACCACAGGTTGAAGTGATGGTGAAATCTGAACAATTACATTTCTGTAATTGTAATAAAAAGGCCGTATTATAGCCTTCCTAGTTGAAATACTCTAATCAATCCACCTAAAAAGCCCGCTTTATAGTCTTCCTAGTTGAAATAGTCTAATCAATCCACCCTGCGAGGTTAAGCAATGGTGCTTCCGAATTGATCACATCGACTTCAATAAACAACATAACATTCTGGAAATTTTTGGTGTAAATGCTGACCTCAAAAGATTCTACAAGATGAAGAACCTATCTTTTTATCGCAAATAAATGTCGCCAAAAGTAATGGCATGTTGAGAAATACACAGAAACTCTACTTAGAAAAACTGGAAAGTATTTCGAAATTCTAAAATCTGGTACTGGTAATGGTCTATCAACATAATTTTCTGCTTCTTAAATCAGCCCAGTGGATCAAAAGTTTAGGCATCATCCTGAGAAACACAATTTGACACCCACAAACAATTGCAAAACAATTTGACACCCACAAACAATTGCAAAAGCACGAAAGGAGGGCTAAAATATCTTAAATGTAAATAGCTCTAGAAAATCCCTAAGCATGCTTTCATCTTAACAAAACCTCGTTTGGTTTGCTAGAACTATCCCCAAGCATGCTTTATCTTGCCACTTGCCTGTAAAGATAGATTATCTACGAGGGATAAGTAGCGTCACTAGGGTTATAATCTTTTGCTACTAAGAGCATCTCCAATACCTTCTCAAATGGCCTCTCAAACTCTAAATTTAGCAAGTGAATGAAAATAAGGCACTCCAATAGGCTTTCAAAAGACCTCTCATATTTTGAGATTATCAAAAGTATTACTAAATATAACAGCTCTCAAATGGCCTCTCAAATTCAAAATATAGTATGTGCATGAAAGTAAGACACTCCAATGCCAAATATAGCAGCTTTCAAAAGACCTCTCATAATTTTATACTTTTCTTGTTAGTTCTAATTTAAATATAACATTTTGGATGAAATGCACTATTGGAGCAGAATTACTAAAATAATATTTTGACACTGTAACTTCTCTCAAAACATTAGATTTGGCATGGAAATATAGCATTTTGCATTAGAGATGCTCTAACGGCGTGATTTGTAGCATTCAAGAGAGGTGAATTATTTGCAAGAGACAAAAGACCAAAAAGCCCCTCAATATAGCTTGTGAAAACATTTATCTACTTCTTGGTGAGGATGATATATACTCACTTTCTAGGTACTTGCTTTCTTTATTCAACTGCCTGGAATTTGAATTATTTCTGCTCTCGGTCTTACTAATCATCATCATTCTTGATCTCATATAATGGGTTCGGCTGTATGAATTTTTTCTCTTCAATCTTTTCAATTACATACCATTTCACCTAACTATGTTTAGCTTTTTAAAGTCATTTTTGAAATCACCGAAATATAGCTTGTGAAAACATTTATCTATTTTACCCCCTATAAACAAGTGGAGCATCCAAATTTAAATATAGCTTGAGAAAACATTTTAGGACTTGTTTGGTTTAGTTCTTCAAAAACATTTTAAATATAGTAGAAAATATTAAAATGTTTCAATCAAGCTATATTTAAATAAAAACTAACACACCATCTAGCAGAATGCCAAACAACACATAGTTTCAATAAAGATCATACTACATTCTAATAAAATATTTCCAACCAAATTTGATTTGAAAGTAAAGTAAAGCTAGGTTTGTGATTTAAAAATAGTTTTTGTTTTCTGTTGTTTGAAAATAAAAACTGTACAAAACTTCCACTTGATTCAGTTTTTAAAAAAACTGTAATATGAAAACTCAATTATAAAAATGTCAATTTTTAAATAATACTAGGTAGTCTTTATTTGAAAACAATTCTTTGTTTTCTAAGTTATTCAGAGTGTCTGATTTGAATGATGTCAAAGTTTCAGAAGACTTCAAGAGTATACTGACAAAATACTCTTAAAATACACACACACACACACCCGTTAACGTGTCAAATCTAAACTGTTAAAATTTAAAGATGCCAGAGATACTCAAATATGGTAGACCGAATTATTGGTGCAATTTTGATTGAATTCTGATATTTAGAATTGTTTTGTCAATAAACTCACTAAATCAAACATGTATATAATATCTGAAAATATCCAACATGTATATAATAACGTAGCAAATTCTTTATTGTATTAAATTTAATTTGTAAATATCTTCTAATAATTATTGATTTTTTTAGATGATAGCAACTAAAAAATTATTCACTAGTCAAACTCGCAGCTAATGCACCTGTAACTAGCAATAAGACAATTGCTGACCTAGACCAGAATGTGGAAGTTATGGCAGATACTGTTTATGGAACAACTCTATTTCTAGTTGCATTCTCTTTGAACCTTGTAACTCAGCCTAGTCTGCCAGTGCCTCTTGCACTCGCTTACAAGGACGCCACAATCACTCCAGGGGCCCAACGTCCTCATTAGTCACACTCTTGACTGGATCAGACTCTGATGTCATTTGTAACGACCTATCTCAACACATGGTATAATATTATTCGCTTTGAGCCCTAGCCCGCATTTACTTTTAAGTTTTACCTCAAAAGGCCTTATACTAATCGAAGTGTACAAATCCTACATATATAGCACTTCCCCTTTTTCGTACCAGGTGATGTGAAATTATACACTTATAACTCGTTCAGTATGGTAGCCTACTAATGCTTCTTGCACCTGCCCAAACCAAGGGTTGATACATATAGGTGAAAAATGATTCGCCCCGTGTTAAAGAATGTCAACTATTAGAGTAACCACAAGGATGAAAAATGGCAAAGCAAAGCCGAAATAAGGATAATTCTTCTAACCAATTAGAGAACGAATTCATTAGCAAATTGAATGATGAACAACCCTTTATCAGTCTCAATTTCAAACTCTTGCAGCCCGTCTAAATAGCACAAGAGATACCCAAAGCGTAGAATGAAAAGACCAGACAAATGAAACTTCAAAATAAAGAAAGAGCTAAAGAGTTGGCAATCATGCAAATAGATCCAGCAGAGATGTCAACAATAACAGAAAAAAACATGTCTTATTAAAAGCTAAAATGAGATATTAAAATTTATACGTCGGTACTCTTACTGAAATTTCCCATATAATTATTATTTTTGGTAGTTTATCTCATAATAAATATTGTATTATTTATTTATTTATTTTTAAAAAAAGTCATTAGGTCGACTGCCCGACACATGTGTACCCTGAAAAGGACAGCTCATACTCGGACAAAAGAAGGGACACCTTGCAATGCTTCCGTGTCATCGACGCCCAAAGTGAATGCTTCCAACTCCATTCCAGCTCATTCATCCACCAACCCAAACAACACGCAATTCGATTTATTGTTTACACGTGGCGTTGTCTTATTGGCCTTCCATTTCATTACACGTCAATCTTCGGCCTTTATCTCACTCCTCATTCGCCTCCCACTCCCCTCTGTCGACATCTTTTTTTTTCTTTCCACAGACTACTCATTGACTTCTCGTAGATTTACAGTTTTATTCTTTGAATTTTTATACATCTTCGATCTTGAATTTCTTGGATCTTTCTCTCTCTATATCTATACATTTATATATATATATATATACACACACACACACTCCATGTAGCATGATTCTGGACACACACATATATAGTATATAGATTGATTACGTCATATATATATATATATATATATAGATTGATTACATTTTTCTAGAGATGTGTGCTTCATTCGGGAAAACCTAGACTTTGCAGATAATAGAGACAGAAATCTCTCATTTTCTTTTACTGTATCTGGAAATTTAACAGGTACCCGCTTTCACCAATAACGTTGAAAAACTCTGATTCTCTCTCTCTCTAAGATTTCAAATTATTAGTGAGAGAAAGTTCTAGAGAGAGAAAGTGTTATAAAAGGAGTTTAAAGAGCTTTCGAACTAAATAGAGAGATCCAACATTCGGCGGAGGCAGCACAGGAACCGTTACCGTTACTATAAAGAAAGAGGGAATATATATAATAAATATATACATACATATATATATATATATATATATACGTATATGATGACGATGAATGTAAAAGGAAAGAAACGGCAAGACAACGCAGACGATCGGCTCAAATCGAGGCTTTTGGTTGCGATTTTCTGCGACTATTGTCATTCGCTTTCGGTTCGTTTGCTGACATCGAGAATTGCTGTCCACAATCGATCTTAAAGGAGACTTTACATACATACATAAACGGACAATTCAAATTCAGGTAATGTGATGTGATGTTTCTTTCTATAACATTCAAGATCGATTTGATCTATGCTTTGACTTCTCTCATTCACAATTGATTCACTCTTGTTTGCTTTCCCAATTAAACTCAAATCTATCTACGACCCATAATTCAGTATTTGTTTATGTCGATCCCTGTATTAAACCCTCTTTTTTACTTCAATTTTGTATCACTCTCTCTCTCTGGGTTTTGAGTTGAGGGATGTTTTATATTGTGTTTGTGATATATACATATATATATATATGTATATATTATGTAATTGATTGAAATTATATGGTGGTGGAAGACAAGATTTTGAGAAAGTGATGTATTGAAAAGGATTTCACTTTGTTCTTGCCTTCAACTTTAATTCTACAGTTTGGAAAAAGCTTGTTTTATTAGACACTTCGCCATCCACTTTGGTGTAACAGTTATTTCTTTTACATAAAGGGTGCTTATTCTTGCCTTGATTGCTAAGGTAAATCTAATGGTTACAATCTATTGACTTAATCATGAATTCTGACCCTCACTTTACAAGCTGTGTGTATGAGATTTTGCTTTTTGATTGTATGTATGTATATATATAGACCTGCGCAAATACAAACACACACACACACACACACACTAGCATTATTAAGATTTATGTTTTGATTTTCGCAATAAAGGCAAATTCTTGAATTATTTGGTGCAGGGTACCTCTGCTTATCTTTATTTCTTCTTCGGGTTGTTTCATGCTGTTCGGTAGTGGATTGGATTGATGTACAATGCAGAGATCACGTAGAGCTCTTCTGCAGAGAAGAGCTTTGGAGAATGCTATTGATAAAAGAAATCACTTGTGCAAAGTTTCGGTGTCTCTGGTGTTTGTTTTATGGGGGCTTTTCTTCCTCTTAAATTTGTGGATTGGTCGTGGTGATGGTTACAAAGGTCAGTCTTAATTAAAGTTGTTATCAGTTTGTTGATTGTAGCGCATTTAATTTCACAATAGTTGCTGTTACAAGGTTCAAAGAAAATGCAACTAGAAATAGAGTTGTTTCACTTGGTATAATTTATGGATAAACATGATTTTTCCGTTTATTAGATGTCTCATGTATCTTTTTGTTTCACTTCTGGTTTCGGTCTCTAGTATATAGTGAGTTTCGGCAAGAGGAAACCTTTTATTCCTTTAACGAGTAGTATTGTTCAAGTTCATTTTTCGCTTTTTCTAGCTTCTACGGCATTCATCCATCATCCCGTTTCAAAGATGTCATTGCCTTTGCATTTTTGTCCTTGGTTTGGTCTGTTGGTATTGTTAACCTAACCGTCAGGATGTGTGCTATGATGCCTATTTCGGTATTCCAAGGTAGCTGAATGTTTGCATCAATAGCTACACTGGATGGGTCATGCACCTTTTTCTTTTATCTTATTTTTAATTCTGAAGGGTGTGGGATTGGGCATGTTCACTCGAGGGGAGAACTAACTACTTGTCTGTCTGAATGTACACATGTGACCTGAGGGAGGACTAACTACTTGTCTGTCTGAATGTGCACGTGTGACCTGAATATGTCTCCTGTAGGCAAGAACTGAACCGATGTCATACTTGAAATTATCTCACATAGGCAAGGATTGAACTCACTATTTCTTTATTTTCAGATACACACAAGTATCATGCTTTTCCTGATAGCAAGTATTTATGTTCAACAAGGATAATCTAATTAATTGTTGGAATTTCTATGAAATGTGTATCTTCTTGCTAGCTAATGCCTGTCTTGTTATGTGAATTCACTTGTGTGCCTTTACAGATAAAAATCATCTTTAATCCTAATTTTCATATGGCTTAGTTGCTCATGATTGTTGGAATCTACTTTCTAGGGGGGTGTGTATTTTTCTCACTAGCTACTTTTATGTCATTTTGACAGATTTAGATGAATCTGAGCAATTTCCTGTTGGAGCAAGAACTTGTGATGAAGATAAGCTGGGACATAATGTAGGATCTCATTCCGTAGATAAAAACCCTTCAGCGGAAATTAATTCTGAGAACTCCAACGAGAATTTACGCACAGTTGGGGTTGAAACCAATGGTTTCAGTGGTGAATTACAAGTAAGTGGAGGAAATGTAAATTATGACTCAGCTGTCAAAGAGCCAAGTGAGGTTGAGAATTCCAGTTTTGGTGCGAAATCTGAAAAAGACATTCCAAAACCTGACAAACTTTCTCGTGCTGTGCCGTTGGGTCTTGATGAATTCAAGATTAAAGCATATAATGCAAAAGGTAGATCTCTAGTTGGTCAGGCTGGAAGCATAATACACAGAGTGGAACCCGGAGGTGCAGAGTACAATTATGCTTCGTCCTCGAAGGGAGCGAAGGTGTTGGCTTACAATAAGGAAGCAAAAGGTGCTTCTAATATCTTAAGCAGAGACAAGGACAAGTACCTCCGGAATCCTTGTTCTGCTGAGGAGAAATTTGTTGTAATAGAACTTTCAGAAGAAACCTTAGTGGATGCAATTGAAATAGCAAATTTCGAGCATTACTCGTCGAACTTGAAGGATTTTGAGCTGCTTGGGAGTTTGGTTTATCCGGTTGATACATGGGTCAAACTAGGAAATTTTACTACTGAAAACGTAAAGCTTGCTAAGAGGTTTGTTCTTCAGGAGCCAAAATGGGTTAGATATTTGAAGTTGAATTTATTGAGTCATTATGGTTTTGAGTTCTACTGCACACTAAGTGTTCTAGAAGTGTATGGAGTGGATGCTGTTGAGAGGATGCTCGAGGATTTGTTCTCTGTTAAAGATAATTTGTTTGAGCCGAAGGAATCAAATGGTGAGCAAAAACCATCACACTCCCAGGTGCCATCTACTGAGGGTGATGATATTCATCAAAGTATTGACAGTGAAGTAAAATCTGACCCTGCTCTTGGAAATGCTGATGTGAAACATGGAGTTATGAATATTAACGTGCCCAGCCCGCCTGAAGAAATTCCTCATCAACAAGTTGGCAGAATGCCTGGAGACACTGTTCTTAAGATACTGACGCAAAAGGTTAGATCATTGGATGTAAGTTTATCAGTTTTGGAGCATTACTTGGAGGAATTAAACTCCAAATATGGCAGCATTTTCAAAGACTTTGACAAAGATATGGGAAAGAAAGATGTACTTTTGGAGAAGATCAGAGAGAATATAAAAAGCTTGTCTGACAGCAACGATGCCATGGTATATTATTTTACTGAATTAGAATTTTTGTTTTTGATTATATGTAATAGCTTATTAACCTAATAGTTCCCTTAATGCACTCTTAACTTTTTGTTTGCCTTGCAGACTAAAGAGGTTGGTGATCTTATTTCTTGGAAATCCCTTGTTTCCAGACAGCTGAATGATATAATAGGGGACAACGCTGTTCTCAGGTAGCCTTCTTTCCTCAGTAATATCACTTTTCAAATTTCAATTCACGTATATTATAGTACAATTTTATTCATGTATAATGAGCATGTTCTTTTAGAGTTATATATCAAAGTTTTTCTGATTGAAGACACATACATACATGCACACACATATATTGGAAATTTAAACCTCGCTGAATGTGTTGGTGGTGGGGGGCTGCTTTTATGGTTTTATCCCGATTCTTCATGACTGCCATTCTGGTACCTAGGTGTCATCACCAGGTCCAGAGAAGAATTTTAGGGCCAAAAATCATGCAGTTCTAGGATAGCATGAAAAGAAACTGGATGAAATACTAATTTTCTTTTGGGCATTTACTAAGGCATTCAGCACAAGGCCCAAAACTTCTGGTATCTTTATTAAAATAACGAGGTTGTTGTTTTGTTAAGTCATGGACCGCAATCTCATGATTAAGTGGACAATAGCATGGTTGGATGGTTTTGTGCTTGTTTCCAAGGCAACTAGTTCACAGATTGCTGCTTCATTGAAAACCTGGTGACCCTTGAAAATAAAGGATAAAATATATGCATCTGAAACCATAGGTTGTACATTAGTAATAATCATAAGAATAGCTTAGCTTATCAAAAATAAAAATAATAAATAATGTTAAATAACTAATGGTTCTATACTCCAGTTTCTATATGTGGCCTTTAATCCTCATCAAAAATCATTTCTTTAAGCACTACAATTGGATTCTTGCATATCATGGATAAAAAATAAATCAGCAGTTGACCTCTGAATTTGCTGAGAATCACTCTCCAAGTGTGGCCAACGTAGTAGTAGTAGTTAGGTTCAGAAGAACATGGCATGTGATTAGTGGTGGCCTTTCTTACTCAACCGCCCTGGTGTACATGGGTTCTAAATCTGTGATAGGACTATCTAGTGCTGCGTTTACTTTAGGTCTATGCAGTGCCTTTTAGGTACCCAACATAATCTTGGTTTCTGGCATAGTTGTAAGACACCATCTGAACCATCTGAGAACTAGTTGACAATTTTAGACCCACAGGATAGCAGGCAATATCATTTGCAAACATATACTTGTAAGTTCGGCTTTACCTAGAAAAAATTTTGATGGTCAGGGGAAATATGAAAAAACCAAAGGTATGGTTATTACAACTTTGATTACAACTTCTCTTTAGCATTATGGTTTAAAACTAACAGTGGGCCAACGCTGAGTGGGATTCTCCAAAGCATCTCCCTCTTCCTTTTACCCCCTTTTTGGGTGATTTCTGAATAGTTGCCTCTCTATTAGTGTTAAACTGTTTCATTTTTGTGTGTGTCAAATAATTAAATATCGTGTCTTATATTACTTACCAAAATGAAAATTAAATTTTCGGTCATTTCTTGTTCAATTGTAATGAAGGCAGATTAAAGGCTTTAGGGTTTGTTTAGTCACATAGCTGATGTTGATATTACGCTAACGATTGTATCCATATGCAGATTAGAGGTTGAAAAGGTACGGCAGAATCAGAGACACATGGAGAATAAAGGAATCGTGGTCTTCCTTGTATCCCTAGTTTTTGGATTGTTCACAGTTATGAGTCTATTAGTAGATATGGTATTGAGTGTGTATAGACCAGAAAATTCCAGGAGTTTTTGCTCGACGGGTTCTTCCTGGCTTTTCCTGCTACTGAGCAGTAGCATTGTTATTGTCATCCTTTCGTTATAATCACAGTTTTGTTCGACTCATTTCGGTTTCTTTAAGTCTATTCATACAAGCCTGGCAGTTGATTCATAATCGATTGATGGCTTCCTCAATGCAGATTACTTTTCAGTTACATTTTTTTCTGCGTCATTGCCATTTTTTGTTACCCTCATTTGCATGGTTGTAATTTCCTAGATAATGTGGAACCGTTGCATGAAAAAAAAGAAAAAGAAAAAAAAGTCTCCTTCATGGATTTGCAGGAAAGTGTGATTGGTTTTAGGTCATTGTGTCACATAGTATCACATGAAATCTCCATCTTTCACGTGATTTGGGTGCCTTGGCTTTATTGGTGAACTCAATCATAAATTACTACGAGACCATTAGACTCGGGCCAATCAATATGTGACACATCAGATAGCCTTCTTGCAGAGATGATGATATCATGTCACACAAGGAAAATTAAATCTATTTAGTGGGTCTTATAACAACTTATTAGTATTTAATTAGTTGGTGATACTATCTCATTCTCCATTAACGGAGAATGTGTTTCGAGAAAATAAAAATAAAGTAAGGGTGACTTTTGTGGAACTTGAACTCTCTCCTTCGCAGACGTAATAACCACATTTGGCTATCATCTTCCCTTCGGTTTGTTGCCAAATATGAATGTAATATGTTCATTTGCATTTTGCACTCTATGGTGATCGGTATGGGTTTGGTTTCGTTTTGGGTGAGGAATTCAACTTCAATTCTTATTGCATCTTTTTACCCTAGGGTAACGTACACTGACTTTTTCAGGCGTGGGTAAATTTTATACATATGAACCATTGATGCCAAAAATTGACTTGTGAAAAGTTAATATTGCTTTTATATTATAATAATATATTATATTACACTTTATATAAAGAAAGGACAAAATCATTACTATATAAAATTTGGTCCAGGCTGTCACATATGTCAAATTTGCTCTTAATATTTCTTTGATTTCCTTAAAACTAAAAAAAGTTAAATTTTCCTTTTATATTCAAACTCTAATTTTTTTCCTTTCAAATTTCTCATTTTTCTTCTCTTTTTATTTTTCTTCTTTTTATTAATTTTTTTGGCCCCCTACTTCTTAACATTTTTTTTTTTGCACTTAAAAATAATGTATATAGTATGTAATTTATTTATTTATTTATTTATTATTATTATTATTATTATTTTACATTGAGCTCCCTCCTCTGAATTAAAATCATGGCTCCTGTCTTGTTCACCGACCATCTTGCCTTGAATGTAATTTTGGGTCCTTAGTTTATATCACTAGGGACCAAAAAGTTGTTGTAAATTGTTAGTGTGGCTGCTTGTGTTTCTATTTTTTTTTTTTCCAAAAAACTCTAGAGCACAAGGCTTTATGGTATGTTTGGTCTGAGGGAAGGATTGGGGAGGAATGGATGCGAGGGGAGATAAAATAATTCCTTTCTGTTTTGGGGGTATATAATTTATATTTTAAACTTTTCCAAAAATTTGCTCGTTAAACCGTACTGCATTAATGAGGGTATATTGATAAAAATAATATAAAACTCTATTTCAATTCCTTCCAACCAAACAAAAAATAGGGTTACCCCATCTATCTTTCTACTATCTATTTCATCCTACCAAATAAAAAGTGATGGAGACACATTTTCTTCCCCAGCGATGTCTCATTCATCCTTTTCAGTTTTCCCTCTCAATTCCATGAATTTTTCCATCCCTCAAACCAAACGGAGCATTAGATATTGTTTTTATGCCTAGGTTGATACCCACTAATAGAATGGAATAAAATATCAATTCCAACTATTTTTTTATTTGGTATAAATTTAAAGTGGGAATATAATGAAATGTCCATTCCAACTATTCATTTGTCTGGTATAAGATCTAAAGTGAGAATGCATTACAATAAAAATTCATTCTATTTCTAAACCTATAAAATGGTCATTCCATTTCCAAGTAAAATTTTTTGAAAAATCAAATTTATAAGAAATCATCATGTTTTAAGTCCAAAAAGTACCACCCATCACTGCCTTGTGCCACTGCCGCCGCCACCGTCACCTTCCACCACCACCACTGACGCCGCCGCCATTGCCTTTCGCCACTGCACTACCATTGCTTTCCACTACCTTTCGTTGCCTTCCGCCATCACCTTCCGTTGCCATCACCATCATTGCCTTCCACCGCCGTCACCATCACTGCCTTCCACCGCCACTACTTTCTGCTTCCACCATCACCGTCACCGTCACCGCCTTTCCCTGCCACCATTGTTGCCACCTTCCACCACCACCACCTTCTTCCACTACTCTCACCGCATTACACCATGGAATAGAATTAATTCTTGAATTTCTCAAAGTTTACAAATAAGATTATTAGGTTTAAATTTGTCTGCAGAAACTACCAATTTGCATCTTCCCTCCTTTGCAAAGTGGAAGTTAAGAGTTCAAATCTTCATTATGGACAAAGTGAATGTATGAGCTATTTATTTATTTTATTTTTTTAAAAAAAGTGACTTGACAATTAGTAAATTGCCTTTAAGGTTAATTGCACAAGAACCTTAAATTATAAAAAATTTGCACTTCACTTCTTAGTAAAATACTAGTGAGTAATATGTAAATATTTATAGTTGGGATGGTTTCTTGCAATTAATTTAAAACAATAAATTAGGAGTTTCCTCTACGGAAGGAGATGCTATACGTGCAAAACCTTTTACAATTGAACAGAGTCTCATTCGATTAACCTTTATAAAACAGAACTAGTACAGTTAAAAAAAAAAGGTGTTAATTTAATTTTTCAAATAAAATATACATAAATTAACATGAAGAATGTTTTGGCAGCAAATTATTTTTCAAAGTTGAAGCAAACACACAAACATTCATAAATACTTAACTTTGGTATTAACTTTTCCTGTTCTTTTGTTAGGATGAAAAATCATACAATTTTTACCTAAAAAAACAAATCATACAATTTGAATTAATTTCTATTGATAATTTTAACAGCAAAGCGAACCCAGGCCTCTCTTATTATTTTTAGGATGGGGTACCTCTCTGACAGAGACTTTTGTCAGAGAGTCTCTGTCAAACCCGTCCCCCACCCCCAAATTTTTTTTTATATATATATATATATAATTCAAGCCTAAATAAAAAAATAATGTTGTTAAAATTTAAAATAATCATAAGAAATGAAGGAAAAAAAATTATAGCTAATAAAAGAATATTTTGATTATTAATTGGAATGGGTTCAGATCTTGACGAGTTTTAAACCTTTTTTACAATTTTGTTTCTAATCCTATTAAGATGATCCTAAATTCATCTCAACTTTCAATAAGATAGGAAGGGCTGTTGTACATATTTCTAAGTAATTGCCCCATGGATCCTATATCTATCTATATGAAGAAGAAATCATATAACGAAGGGGATTCTTATTTATACAAATGGTATTTCAAACTTGGAACGAGTACGAAGAAATTAACGATGGTTCTTTATCTTTTGAGTTGTTATGCCGTTGCACAATATCTTTGGTCTAAAATGGAATCACTTAAAACACGACATGATCATGCAGTTAAATTGACACCCACAAATCCCTCAAATAACAAGAGGTAAAAACTTATTTATTTACTAATTATTAGATTGAGAAATATATAAAAAAATTCTAGGGTACATTACATCACATTCCTTCTTAGTTAGCATTTATTCTAATTACCTCCTCTATTTTTAAAATTATTACAGTTACTTTTCCTCTAGCATCTAATATCAGCATTGATGATCTCCACACTAACGACATGTGTGGTTTTGTTAGTCCACGTAATTAGAAGAGAGGGACGTAATTGTAATAATTTAAATTATAAGGGGTAAGTATAATAAATTATAATTAGAGGGAGGTAAATATATAATTTACCCATACTAGAATCAAAATCAAGTTGATGGTTAATACTGTATACCCATTATTGCCTCACTCGATTCCAGTCTTCCAGACCCTTCTCGGGTAGTCGGTTCATATCTCCTTGTATCACGAAACTAAACATAGACGAACGCTAGAGAGAGAAGAAGAGGAAGTATAGAGAGAGAGAGCTTGAAATTATCAAATCGAGCCATCATCATGTTCAAGAAGCCAGTGGATGCCAAGGCACAACAGCGATTGTCAGGCGCAGACCGCAAGAAGTTGAAGAGAACAGTCAGAGAACGCTTCCGCAATGCCTCCGATTCCGATATCGACGCCTTGCTTCCCCCAAAGGTCTCATTCTCTTAGCTGTAACACTAATTATTCAATTTTAGAATTTCTTGTATTGAATTCGATTCAACTGTAGCTTTATTGAAATCAAAAACCCATTTTGGTTTTTTGACATTTTGGTTACCCAATTGTTCATTAAGATTGAGATTTCTCGAAATCATGAATATTTGTGTTGTTTTGCTTTCAGTGATTTGATGTTTCCTTTTAGAAATTGAATGGGCAGATTGAATTTTTGATGGGTTTTCCCAAACACGACTTTTTGAATGGTTAATTACACCATATAGCTCTGTAGGTTGTCCAATTACTGTCTACATGTGTTCATTTGGTGTTAACATTTTGCCTTAGACATTCACACACCAATCAGGATTTGAAAATTGTAAAGGAATAATTTATTGATGCCACAAATGCTTCGTGTTTGCAGTTATGGATTGAACTAAGAGATATATATATATATATATTTGAATTCTTGGTGCCTTGAACGATTTTTATTATCTGCTGATCTGTTTTCCTTCCTCTTTATTATGAATAATATTTTTTAGTCAGAAGTAGCAGTTGCGAAGTTCCCAAATAGAGTTCATGTGTACAGTTTGGAGGGTGGCTTTCCTATGTTTTTTGACATTGACGGGCGAGGCACAGAGATATTCCCCACAGGTACTTGACCCTTTATGTGTCTTTGTTCAATTTTTGTTATCTTCCTTTGCTATTTGTTTTGTTGGTATATTGCAAGTCTATGAAATTCCTTTATCAGGCATTTCATCTGTTATAACTGTACAGTTTACATGGTGCAATCTATTATAGTCTATATGTGATTAATGGGTAAGAGTACTTCACTTGGCTGGAGAATGAAGTTATCAATTGAGGGATTTCAAAACCGTTGATTACACTTGTTCTCAACTCATGTAATGTATAATAACCTAAGTTGACAGATTAGCTTAAGTTCAGTTTTGATTAATGTACTCAATATTATGTAGCTATGCCCAATCACACTATCATCTCACCCATAATCCTACTAAAAAATTTCAATCTTAGTGGAAAATATTCTCGTGATTTAAAAAATTGAGGATCTCAGTGTACTATGTTTTAGTGTCAATAAATTAAGATAGGTGTTCCAAACCTTCGGAAGACCAAATATTCCTGTAACCCAAATGCTCCCTCAGGGTCATAACGTTGCCACCCCTCACACGTCCGCGGCTCGCCTTCTCTCACTATATAGTGTATCCTATCCAATTGGAAACTATATTTTTTATATAGTCAGGCACCACCATGGTTTTAAATTGCGGCATCAGTTTATGTCATGATAATGGTTGGTTGCATCACCACCACCAGTGGAGATCCAACAGAATTTTGGGGCGGCACAGTGTTATATCTGGTAAAACAGGACCATTCATTTTGTGTACTTGATTAAGGTGTTTGTCACTTACAGTCTCATTTTCATTTAAAAGCAGCTGGTTACTGGTGACTTGCACAACTTTCGCATGGGAATGTGCTGTTAAGAGATGTGAGGTCGATTAATAATGACTAAGGTTTATGTTTATTTTGTTTGGACATGTATCAATTAAATGTTCACACTAGACTCACTAGAGTTCCTTGATATGAGAGTGACAGATTCAGAATGATATTTGCTGCAGAACGACATCGTGTGGCAGGGACAGAGCTAGAAATTTATTTCAGAAGGGGCATATTGAACATGATAAAATATATTTTTTTCCAACTAATAATGTATGAAGATGAGAAGCCAAAATATAGAAGTGCACTAACTGTGCAGTAATCAAGAATCAAATAACATGTTCTAATTTGCAAAAACTTGATGTAAAAAATTCAAAAACATAAAATACGGACATTAAGGATCTGTTTGGCAATAGTTTCTGTTTTGCATTTTTTTTTCATTTGAATTAGAAAAAATTGTATTTACTGTATTTACATTATATTGTCTTTTGGAAAATTATCATTATAGTTGTTTAGTTACAATAGCTAAAACAATTGATTTTTATTTTTTTTACTTTCAAATTTGAGTCTTTTATGGAACAAACATGATATTGTGCAAAATGTAACAAACATTACCAAATATGCTTTGTTCTTTTTCACTGATTTGGCAACAAAAAAATGAAACAAAACGGTTGCAAAATGCAAACAAGCCCTAAGTTTGTAAAATCTCAATAATTAATATAAAGAAGAAGAAGCAGAAAAAAAGAATAAAAGGAGAAAACAATTTACTCCTCATACATCATACATGAGTGCAAGAAAAAGAAATTTCAAGAAAAGAAAATAAGAAGAATAAGAAGAAGAAAAAAATAAAAAGAAAAGTAAAATGTAAGAACTTTGAAGGGGAATTATTTCAGTGAAGAAGAGTACAAAATAAAAGAAAGAAAGAAAGGATTAGTGAGATTTATTCAGAGAGATAATTAAGGGCAATTTTTGTAAAAGTTTACAAAATTACTTGTACAAAGTTTTTTTTTAAAAAAAATAGGGGCCAGCAGGTCTGCCCCTGAGCATAAGCTGGCTCCATCTCTGCCTTGTGGGTATCCTATATTTCAGTTTATTGTATCATATACATAGATCTGGTTGGTGAAAGATGCAAATTAGTAAGTTTTTTTTTTTTTGTCAGCCCTATCTGCATGTTCTTATGTTGGTGCTAGACCGTGTAGTTTGCGTTGAAGTTTTTCCAAGTTGAAGATATATGTTCTCGAGTTCTCAAGGACAACTCACTCGTACTTGTGGGTGGATGCCAGTAACATCTGAATCGAAGCATATACATTTTGTGCTGATAACATTCCAAACATATCATTTATGTTTAGTGTGGGAAACTAATGGCTTTTTTAAACCTTAACGTAAGCTATATGTTTATATTGATATAATCACTGTGATTTTGCAGTTTATGCTCTCTGGAAGGTCCCTAAACTCTTGCCTGCTTTTGTGCTGAAGGGGGGTGAGGTTTCTCGTTTTGTCATTGGAGGGGCTGATTTGATGTTCCCTGGTATCAGCATACCTGCAGAAGGTCTACAATCATTTTTAGCTGGGGAACCATGGGCTGTGAAAGTCCCTGGAAATCCATCTCCAATTGCGGTAAGCTTTTTAAAGTCATTACTGTTTTGTTTTTAGAATTGTTGCAACTGTCCAAATTAGATGAGACCTTTGGTGTTGTTTCATATTTGTTCAGGTTGGGATTACCACCATGAGTAGCACGGAAGCTTTGAAAGCTGGTTTGCGTGGAAAGGCTTTAAAAATATGTCACTACTACCGAGACTTACTTTGGTAAGTATAACAGGACTTTGATAGGGTTGTATGATTGTTAATTTAAGTAGAAATATGACTAATATGGTTTCTGTTTTGGAAATCGTCTGCTCAGGGAATCAGTTGAAGGTCATTATGTTCCAAATGCTGGTTTCTATGAAGATGTTGTCTTTGGAGATCCTTCTTTGGCATCTACTTGTCAGGCTTCTGATTCACGTGAAGGTGATGCTTTGATTCATCAACAGAATGGCAGTGACAACAAAGAAGTGGGGGAGGCTATTATTGTCACAGATGCACATTCTGATATAGATCCTGTTTCCACACAACAAATTGATTTTAAAGACGACAGTGCTGAACAAGTAACTGCGGATATGGGTGATTTGAAGGTGACAGAAAATGCATCAACTGATGAATTAACTGTTGAGGAGCAGCATACTTTATCCACTGAGGATGTGGATGCACTTCTGGACAAATGCCTTTTACAAGCCTTGCACACCACGATTAAAGATAAAGACCTTCCAATGCCTGGAAGTACATTATGGTAAGATAAATATTCTAATCTGAATTCTCTCTCTCCTCCGCTCTCTTGTTTGACCGATTTTTAGTGTGCAAAGCACCTCCAGACTATTTCAGTTGAAATGAACATCATATGTTACTATTTATGAACTTGTGCTGACATGCATATGAAGTTGAATCGAGAAGATCGAATTATAGACATATGGATACACTATGGAATTAGCCACGTGCAGCAAAAATAGTCATCTTTGAGAAGTTGAAAGAACCTAAAAGAATAGGATGTTTCATTTAAAATAAAGGCACTTACATACTTGTAAGTATCTTTTTCGGAAGTTTGATCAATGGTGATGTACCGGGTTGTTCTAGAGTGCTTGCTAGGTGATGTAGGCATGGTGATCAGATTCCTATTTTTATACATCCTTGTGGTCGTGTTCCTGTTATGTTGATTCCCACCTGAAGAAGTTGATATAATCCTTGTTTTTATGTGGGGGAGGATCGGAATTCTTTTCTCCAAGTTGTTTATACTGATTTCTTTTTATTGGGGAAGGAAGATAGTTTTTAGCTCAAAACTTGTCTTCCATTTGTTTCAGTTTCTTGGTTAAAAATTGACATGAGCAGAAATTTTCTTTTGCTGCCATACATATTCTGGAGAAGTTAATTATGGTAATTATTATCATGAATTTTTTGTTTGAAGGGATAAATAATTCAGCATTCAGTGGCAACTGAAGAGCTCCTGGTTCTTTTGTGACAAATTATGGCACGACATATTAATAAATTCTGAGAATTTTGAAAATCACAAGTATATAAAACCTATAATGTCACCCTCCACTCCCTTCCTTCCTGACTGATGCATTGTTGGTTTTGGAAAATTAGAGAGATATTTCTAGTTTTCTGTTTATTTAGGTGGTTTGCTGAGTAGCAAGGTATGATAAGATTTATGCTTTGGAAGGACTGAGGGAGGGAGAAGTGAAGGAAAAAATAATAGTACTACAGATGTTGGAGTGGTCTTCAGCTTTTGTGAACCAAGTTTTAGATCAGAAATTGTCTTGAATCTTGACAGCGTAAAATAGGAACACTATTTCGTATCAAATTACATTAAAGTATAGAAGAAAATATGTTTAAGTCTAAAGGCAGCTATTTTTCACAAAGAATGCTGGAAGTTTGGTCTATACCTATCTAAAACCCTTCTGGCGGTGGAAATTAAGTACTCAGCTAGTCAAGCTGCATCAGGTATACGCTTTTCTTTTGAGTTTTTGTGAGATTTAGTTTGAATGTAAGTGATAGCCCTTCTTGTGAGTTGTGTGTACATGAGTTTTGCCCCATTTTTGGTGCCCGTAGTGGAATTTTTATCCAGAAGTACCTCTATTTTTTTTTTTTTTTTTTTTGTTACAGAAATTTTCATCTTTATTTTTCTACACTTTCTAACAATTTTTTTTTGGTGCTGTTGCAGGTCAAGTCATGTGTTACCTTGTAGGCCTTCAGGCATCACGATAGATATTAAAAAATCATCATTCAAGAAATTGTCAAAGTGGTTACAATCTAAATCAACTGCGGGATTGGTATGTTTTTTAATTCTTTCTATAAACAAATATGGAGAGAAAAAAGTATATTGCCATATGTTTAAATTGTTTACAAGGTATTTCTTAAATAGAATTACAGGGAGATAAATTAGGAAACTAACAACTGTACACCAGCTAATCTCCCTAATTTCTAGCAGTTGACAAAATCTCTTTCTGTCTATATTTACGCGCCTATTCTACTCCTAAAATCCAGTGCAATAACCACCAAATATTCTCCTTTCCAACACTTTCTAAAGTCCTTGTAGTAAATTTTCTTAAATGCAACAAACATTTGCACCCTGTATTGTTTGAATATTTAGAAAAATTGTAAAAGCAACTGAAAAGCGGATAATGTAATTGTAATTGTTGTTGTAGAGCAGTCTTCCTGTTTCCTGACTGATGTTACAGTACTTGATGCTTATCTTTTGGTGCTGTTTGGGGTGGTGCTTCTTAATCTCCCAAAAGTACATTGTTTCGTCCTCTAATTTTGAAAATTTTCAGTGATTACTAGAAGGCTCATAATATTGCTTCTTGTTGCTGTAATGAACTGTGGCTGACTATTCAACAATTCGATGGGCATATTTATTTATTTTATTTATACTATTGAAGGCATGCTCTCAATGCATGTGAAGAGGTTTTTTAACTTTTAGAAACTTGTGGCAATGCTTTCTATTCATAAAATATGTAGAAGCTCTAGAAAGGATGAAGAAAGGAAAAAGATCTACTATGATATAAATGTATTGAGTGAATTGATTTAAAATGTAGGCCGAGCTGTCCTATATTTTGAGGTGTCAGTATATTTTCTTTTTCGTCTCAAAGGATGCCTGATTACTTTATTTTTTTTCATGTTCATATGGGTCCTAACAAAAGTTTTACATCGACTGTCAAGCTACCTAATGCAACTCTTCCTTTTTCCTGGCTTAGGACTGACTGTGTTACTGTAAAATAAGGCACTAAACTTGGCACAGGCAGGTTTTATTTTTATTTATTTATTTTTAATAGTTTTGTGTGATAGAAAGAGTTTGGTAAATAACAAGAGAGTTATTTAAGACATTGCATTAATGTTTCACCTGTAGTTGCAAAAATCTTACGTTGTATACGGTGGAGGATACATGATTGTGAACCAAGCAGAGCTGTTTATGAACAGAACCTCCTATTCATCTAACTACATTGGGTAATTGTTGGCACTTTTTGTCTGGGAATGAACCAAATTTATGGGATTTTTCTCTTTCTTTGCTTTACACTACTAGAGATTCTCTTATAATTATTTATTATTCTCTTTTCTCTATCTTTAATGGTTTCCTCATTCCATTTTAATAGATGATATTTCTTGTGTGAAAGTGCTGTTTTCTCTTTTGTTATCTCTTGTGTGAAAGTGCTGTTTTCTCTTTTGTTATCATTGACATGGTATGACAATGTGTTTATTATGAATTGGCATAACTAATAGATGTTGTGGATAATTTATTCTTGCAATGATGTACTTATCAAAAAAAAAATTTATTCTTGCTATGATGTGATGTATTCTGACGTTGATAATTGTTATCTTTTGTTTCGAGCACTGTAGGACTATTCTCTGTTTTTGTGGATGGAGTAATTGACCAGACAAGTTTTATTTTATGTTACATGGACTCGAGTGCGCGTGTCGTGTGCAAGTATGTACCCACGCATTGGACATGTCAAATCTTCAAACAAAATGACACATGGACGCTTCTACATATTCATATATATATATATATATATATATATATATATATATATATTTTTTTTTTCTAGAGAAAAATAATGTCTTTATTTAACATAGTGATATAGGAATTTTAATCATTTTGAAGCAATAATATAATAAAATTGATTTGTTGGACAAGTTTTTTAGGTGCATTTCCACCCAGAAGTGTCGGACACATAAACCATACCCATGTCCAAGCAATTTGTGTCCAACATGGATACTTCCACCTACTTTTGAAGAGTCCGTGTAACATAACATCTGTCTTTTTTCCTGGAAAACATGTTTCTTCCTACTTGATGCTGGAGAATTTAAGAATGTGATGCTTGTTTTTCTTGCTTTGTATATGTATACAGGTTTTCTTATTTTCATTTCTATTTTTCCTGTTTATTTTATGGCGGTGAACAGATTTCAGTAAAAGAAGATAAGCATAAGAAAGAGATTACACTAGTTTCTGTCAACCGTGTTCATCCGGATTTCACATCCTTCAAGCCCGAGAAACGGAAAGTGGAGAAAAATGAGCAAACCACTGATCGTGCTGCCAGTGAAGGTCGGTCACATAAAGTACTGGAAGTGGAAGAGATATATAAACCTAGTGTGCATGTCAAACACATTTTCTCTTCTGTAGGAGCTGATACAGCTAAACTATATAGTGCCTCAGAAGCCAGTGATATTGTGTTCAGCTACATTGAGAAAGAAAATCTGGTTAAACCGACAGACAAGTCCCAAGTGGTATTGGATCCAATATTATGTGATGCCTTGTTTAAAGGAGCCATCAAAAAGGGAACAACTTACCCAACTCATATTCATAAGAAGGATTTAGGACCTACATTTATAAACCGGATGCAGGCGCATCATAGAGTGAGAAGAGGAAGTGAGTCAGTTGTTTGCAAAGGTGCCCTGAAAACAATTCAAATAATGACTGAACGACGGCAAGGGAACAAGAAAGTGACAAAACTCACTGGGTTGGAATCATTTCTGTTGGATGCTGAGGCATTGGCATCAGAGCTACAGAAAAAGTTTGCTTGTAGTACAACAGTGGCTGAATTACCAGGTATGCCATCATACCAGGCCTTTGATGCGATATATCTTGTTTGTTGGTTTTTATCCAAAAACGGGTAAATTTATTGTTTTCATTTAGAAATATGCTTCTATATTCCCAATATATATGGCTAAGATAGGGGTTACTTTGTCAATATTGTATTTGGTACAATATTGGTTAATGTTTACTTGCATATTTTTCCTTCTATGTCAGTCAAAGCTATTTATTGTAGGACTTTCTTTTCATTTTGTTTATTTTATTATTATTGTCGAGGAATATGTTCGTTTGCCTTCTTTTTGGATTCAATACCATGTGCCATTTATCAAATGGAATTTCTGGGGGTATTTGATTCTATTAGATTTATTTCGATCCATTAGTACAATATTGTTTTAATGCCCAAGAAGGTGCTAACTATCAAGTTGTTATGGTTCATTTCCAGGAATCATGTTATTGGAGGCAATTTAGTTATATTTACTTCGATTTCTGATATGGCTGCAATTGATTCAAACCAATCTAAGTAGGGTTATGTTCGAGCTCGCCTCAGTCATGTAGACATAGTGTTCAAGCTCGGCTCAATCTTGGCTCGAGCTCCCGTATGAGTGTCCAAGGTCGGCTTGTCCATGTTTGCAATTGTTTGAGCTCGGCTCGATAGCTTGATAAGACCCAAAACTTAGAACAACATTTGCAGTTGCAAGTTTCTATTGTATACGTGTGTGTCTATATATATATATAGAGAGAGAGAGAGAGTGATAATATATACCTGGTACATGAAATCGCAACCATTCTCCACCCAACTTCCGATCTTCGGCTTAATGTTCAACCTACACTTTGATTCTTCCATCCAGTATGAGAAACAATGGAGATGAGAGATTAGGGAGAAATACGACTGAGAGAGAGAGATAGAGGGAAAGAGCGAAAAAAACCCGTGTATTTTCAGCCATGGTAGTACCATCGCTGGGGGTGCTGTTGCAGAGTTGCTGCTGCTTTCTTCATGGGATGCGGCAGTTAGGGTTGGGGAAGATATGGTGTGAGAGAGTTGTGTAGTGTTTAAATGAATGGGTTGGAAACATGGGCTTGGAATTTTTGTTGGGTTGATATTATAAGTGTTGTGACAAACACAACGATCTCAAGATAAAATCAAGAATCACGAAAGAAAAGTAAACACACCACACAAAGAACACAAAGATTTATACGTGGTTCGGCAACAACCTACGTCTACAGTTGAGATCCGGGGAAAGTCTTCACTATGTGTAAAATCGGAGATTACAAGTTTTCAGCCCCTCACTTTGTTTCTGTACGAATTTCAAAGTCTTTCTCTTTCCACACTCCAAACCCTAAGCGCCTTTATATATCGGGTAATAAGAGACTAATTAGGGTCCACGACCCATGAGCAAAAAACGGGTCAAAAATTTTCCTCGGGGTCAAGCCCCCGAACCTCCAATGGGTCGTCAGGTCATAAGTTGGTCGCAACGCGACCCGGCACCAAATTCGGGCCACAACATCACAATAAGTATTATTGAATTGGGTTGGATAGAAATGGGCTCTACTTCTTAGTTAAAATTGAAAAAATAATGGACCTAAACTATTGAATATATGTGTGTATATTTACGAGCCCAGTAATGAGCACGTTCACGAATGTGTTCGTGAACTAACTTGCCGAATTGAAGGGTGTTCGGGATTGGCTCGTACCGCTCGTTTATTAATCAAACATCCAAATCTTGTTCGGGCTCGGTTCTTTTTGTTAAATAAATGAACACGAGCCGAGCTTTTAGCAAACGAGCCGGAGCTGTTCGCCAACAGCTCGGTTCGTTTGCAGCCCTAATTGCTGATTCACAAATGTAAGATAATTGTTTCTATTAATTTGGGCATTAAGAGACAAAGGAGCCAGCTTGAAATGCATACCAACGTGAAAATTGCAGAAATCAAACTGCTGGAGAAAGATTTCGGCTGCATGTGTAGTCCAGAAGTGTAAAAGGAGCCTCTTTCTCATTATTTTAACTGTACAAAACACATGAACAGCAGTGGTAAAAGGTACCATAAAGCCTGAGTGTTGGTTCTATACACATGGGGAGTTGGGACACGAACTTCCAAGTCCAGCAATTTTAATTAGTAGCATGAACAATGGAAAACAACTCCTGATTGAGCAAGATGTTGGGAATTATGTTGACATTGTCGATGCTAAATCTACTTTTGATGAATTCCCTGGATGTGTAGATGATGAAGGTGAGAGATTAATGGATCCAAGATTTGACAACGAAGAAAAGGAGCATGACGAAGGAATTTATTTATTGAATAATGATGTCGAGTTACTTAACGAGAGAAGAAAATCAGGTAATGCGAAGACAACAGTGAATCTGAGATTAGAATGGACAAAGGAGCAAGGAGAAAGAATAGAAATCTGATGCAGTCCAACACAAAAAGAAATTCTCAAAAATTGAAGAAGCTGTCATTAAAGATAGGACCACTAAAAATAATGGATGGAAAACCATGTTTGTGATTTGATGGATCTTGGTAAATTTGCTGCAAACACGAGGGAGTTTTCGTCAAGGAAGAGGGATTGATGCAGATAATCTTATGGTTCCTATCAGTGTATCTTACCATTTGATGAAGAAATCAATGTTCATCCATGTTTCTATAGAGGTCTTGCAGTATCAATCAATGTTTGAAATTATTATGTGATAGCTTAGGGAATGGTAAAGATATTATTATTTTTTCCATTGGCAAGAAACACATCCACTTTTGCCCCTTTGGGGACCCTCGACCTTCTAGTTTGGAAGGCAAGGAAGTACAACTACGCTACAAGGCCCTTGGTAAGATGTTATTAATTTGTTATGGGAATTCAAATAGTCTTCTAGGGAAAATCAGGGTGATAGTTGTTATTTTATAAGAGGAACAGCCCCCTTCTCTACTTTAACAAGTCTTGACCAATACAAATTCAATCTTTTTAGAGATCTAGGCTTCAGAGGTGATCGGAGTACCAGTCATACTTACAGATTTACAACTTTAAATGGACTACTTTTTAACACACTGTGCTTCACTATCTGATTGTCTGTCATATGATAGCAATCAAAGTACTCTTCTGTGGAACCAAACTAGCTGGAATACAGTAGGATCAATCCACCCTTCAAAATCTGAACCTTTATATATGTTGATCTCTCCAGCCACATTACATGGATCATGCCAACTTTTTTCGACAAATTTCTTGTCCAAACAAGCATGGGATCTTGTGGTGCTTCACAGCCTTGGGCACACTGGTCTCCTTTTGTGAAGGATTTGCACGCTAGTATTTTGGTTAGTCCTCTTGCTTCTCATTGTTCTTACCATTATTGTTACTCCTGGAATTGTCTCCTTAAGGGCAGATGCTCCACCATTATTGAGTCAAAGGGTTCGCTTTTTAAATTTCTTAATCTTATATTAAACTATTCAAGATGCTCTGTGATTCAAAAAAGAATCTCATCTTGTTGATGATTGGGCAATGTCCTTCTAAATGATCTCACAAATGGGTAGATATGATTCAGAATTCGTTCTGTTACCAGACACTTATGGGTTCTTCTCGTGTGCTATGTTTGAGTGATTGATGAATGGATGGATTTGGCCTGTCCACCAAGGTTTTAAGATAAACATTAAACAACATCTGGTTTACTTGTCAAGCTTTAAGGTGCATAAAAATTGTAGAAAAAGGAAGAAGAAAAGGCTGAATAAGAAGCTAGGTGTCACACCTGGGGTCGTTTAGACATAACACCTAAGGTTGAATTGCATCATGCAATCCAAAAAATTCATAATTGCTAAAGAACTACACTAGAACTTGTTATCCATTGAATTCAAAGCATTGCTTAACTATATATAGACTTCCAGGTAGCCTATCTCTAATTAGACCTAGACTATATATATAGAAACATGAAGACTTTGATTAGTAGAATCCATGTGAACTTACCAAAGTCCACAAATGATTACCTAATTCCATAATTTGACCCTGATGGCGTTGTATGGGCTACAACTACAGTAATGTTCTGCAGATCTTGAAATTACAAAAAAGTACTCTTGATTGTCTCCTTAAACTTGATGCAACACAAATAAAACTGTATCAGTAACCAACTAACTTAGATAAAACATAAATTGAGACTTGACTCGAATTCAAATTTGATTAACTGCTGTCGCAAGTCTGAGATAAAACATAAATTGAGACTTGACTCGAATTCAAATTTGATTAACTGATGTCGCAAGTGGCCCTTATTTTAAAATTGAACCAATTTTTAAGTTCTCCCAAACGTCTAATTTTTTCATTATTTTATGTTATTTATTATTATTTTCCCTCTTTGTTGAGCTTCTTTTGAATTGCATCATCGAGGGTCCGGCCATAATTGTAAAAGGTTTTGGGTAACTTGATGGTAGATAGACAATCAAAATGCTATACTCGTATTAAGTCAGAACTCAGAAGTATGCTCAAAGATGGGAAACCAACAAGAAATTTCATGTTTAAGAAACATATAGAAGACTTATCTACTTGTATCTTTCTGGAATGAGTGCATAGGTAAGGCCGTAAGTGTCATAATCATATAATTAGGACTAGATCAATGATCTTAATGTATACATTTTGGGTTCACTTTTGTGTTGGAAAGGGTTATGGGATGTGCATGTCATGGTACATGGTGTATTTGATGCATTTGATGAGTCAAAAAATGCAATCTTGCTTGTGCAGTTTGTGTGGTGGTTCAACATTGACTTAATAATTATATTTTTATGTAGCATGTGGTGAATCAGAATGAGTTGGTATTAACTTTCAGCGATTTACAGGCTAAATTTGGTCTTCGATTTAGATAGGGTAGCCAAATGGGCTTAGATTTACAACTATAAACTGGAAATTTGGCTAGAACAGGTAAAATTGGAAATGATCCAGAAAGTAGTTAGCAATTATACCGATTCAGCCAAGATTTGCAAATGTGACTGGGAAATTAGTGGAATTTTGTTAATCTTTTCGAAATAGTTTATAGAAGTTGAAAATTTGGGCTGAGTTTAGCAGTGAATTTAGTAGTATGGTCTACGTCGAATTTAGTTAAAAGATGATGTTTCTTTTTGACTAGTATAAGAATAATAGTTTTTCCTAATAAGTCCTTAATTGTTTTTGGTAGTATAATTTATCCTTGTTGACTGCCTGGGATACTTAATGAATCTTGCCCATATGAATCGCCGATGATTAAATGCATGGTAATGGTTGAGATGTTTTTGCTGATTGCTATGGTTGCATCATATTGAACTCGTTGAAATTGAATCTATCAGTTAATGTGTTGGTACACACAGCCGTGAATTTTCTTATCTCTTGCATTTTCCCCTATTCCTTTGTTTCTCAGGTAAGAAGGGGCATGAAGTTCTGGTTCAAGGAGGTGTGATCGACGACCTTGGTAGACATTTAGTTGAACATTATGGAATTCCAAAGAGATACATTGAAGTTCTTGATAAAACTAAGAGATGAGAATTGAGGTCAGTTTTATGCATCACTCTTGTGACTCATCATTCATCAACTGTTGCTTTCGAGCCTCGCAATTGGGTAAGATGGAAGTTAGAATTAGTCTGGAGGTAGCTGCAACAAGTGAGTATTTGTGTGGTACTAGGTGTCTACTTTAGCAACATCGATATCTTTGCACGTGACATACAATTAAGTTCGCCCTGGTTGCAAGTTCCTGGTCTTACTCTCTAAACAATGCTGGTTAAAGAACACATTAACTCTTTGGATGTGTACTCTAGGATTATGGTCCTGTGGTAGTCGTGATTTGGATTCCATAAAAAGCGTGTGGTGGATATGCATGTACGCCTTTGATTGCTTTGTTCTGAGTTTTGTCTTTTATTAACTTTCATTTTATTTTTTTATTTTATTAAATCTAATATGGGAAAGAAATTAAGTTTTTGTAATGTTACGGTAGTGAGTATTGTTTGTGCTGCTGTAGCAACTTTTTCTTTTGATATGGTAGTGCACAACTATTCGTGCTTTTGTTGTCGCATTCTACCCTGTAGGTTTAAGTATATACATACTATAGAAGTCCAACGGAAATGTGAGAATTTTGTCAGAAATAATGCTTACACGATAATGAGTTTCAATGCTCAAACAGTAAAAGATTTTGGGGCCTGAAAGTTAGCTTGTAGGCTTGGTTGTCTAGGTTTTATAAGCATGATTATTATTATCCTCCTCTTGTTCCTCATTAATTCCTCTGCCATTTGACTTTGCTCTCCTGGTGACGGGCCGCATCAAGCATACAAACAGATTCAAGTATTACTATATCTGCCTCTACCAATTCTCCATTATCACTGGATCATTTCACTAGTTCTAATAACATCTCATATTTCATTGTTACAGACCCAATTTTAATAATTCTCTTAAGATGATTTGTGATCATTGCATTTTATTTAGGGCTGAATCTCCAAGATTGTTTGATATGATTTGTATCATGTGCAGTGGTGATGAAATTTAATGAAACAGGAAAGAAGGGGCGACAACGCAAACAATAAAATTCGGATCTCGTTCAAGGCGGAACCAACACGAGAGGTCGAATGATTTAAAGAGTTACGATACGAAGTCTTAAATTGCTCTCGTGTTGCTAGGCTAGAAATATATTAAGAGTAATTTAATCTTGTGAATTTGATAATTTTCAGTTTTGAGCTGTAGAGTGGGATGTACTGTTTTGAGATGTTTTTGTAGTCTCTTATTTATAATTGAGTCAGATTTACTGATGTGTGTAGTGGGGTTCAAGTAATTGTCCAATTCTTGGTTTTACTTGGCTTCCAGGATTTTGACAGCATTTTGTTAGAAAGCACAAAGGGAAGAACAAATACATTGTATAGAAGAATCAATGGGAGTAAAGAATTGCTACAATTTTCAAACCGGCACCGTTTTCCCCGTAAACGAGCAATGCTGCCTCACCCTCCAGTGACAACAACAAAGGCACAATGGAGGATCATAGTGAAGCTGTTTGTATTCGTTGTGTGGTTGTAAACTTGCCAAGACTTTTAATGCTCTGACACCAAGTCTTGGGGCATTTGCACACTAAACATTGGGGAAGCAAAGCCCTTAAAATTCATTCCCACTGGACTGTGAAGCAGCAAATGCTTAACAGATTAACAGTGACTATATCTTCGTTAGATTCCCAATCTTACCTAGAAAGCTGTCTTATGAGTGGGGGTACTATAGTCTTTTACATACTTCGAGACATATTAACTTTTCCGGAAAAATTATTATATGATTTAGGACCGTTGGTTTCGGACCAATCATGAATCGACGCATAAATAAATGTGCCAGCTTTACGTCACTATCAATTAGTTTTTTACTTATGTGTTGTTCTTTTTATACTAATCAACTTTCTTGGGTAAGGAAAAATTATTACATGGTTCGGTTCTTTTAATATAAGACCAATTATGAAGCGACACATAAACAAATGTGTCAGTTTTATTTAATTGTCGAGATCAATGGTGGACAATCATGAATTATGGTACATTACACTATTATACAAATAAAGTCAATATAAACTGATATTTAACAAAATATACCTACCTTCCGTATTTTATTTATATGTAAATGATACAAAACTGAAAAATATTAATTTCAGCAACTTTGTAACTTTTTAAATTCTAATTTTACTATTGAAAAAAAATATAATATATGTAAAGGATAGAAACGTAATGATTCCTCTCTTTGAAATGACAGTTTTAGTTGATGACTTCACAAGAAGGGAAGAAATGATTCTTTTACTCATACGGTGAAATGAGTATGGTACCTTTTTCTAACGAACTCTAATTTTTTATTACTAAAACTTTAACTAACTGACTGTCTTTGTACAAGCCGACAAACTCAACAAGACAAACTCAACAAGCCGACAAACCTAACGCACCCATGCACTGGGCTTCTCGGTTTGGGCCGAATTTAGCTTAAAGAAAATATTTTAATTATTCAGTAGTTAGAATAAATAAATAAATAAATTATATAAAAATAGGCAATTTACAAAAGACAGAATCTTATCTTGAACTTGAGAAATTACTATTCATAAAAATATCTTTATTAAATTACTTTGTAAAATAAATAATTAAATAAATAATTACTATATTTTCAGAGAATTGCTCAAACTAAGCTGAAAAAAGAGTACTCTCACACTTTCTCGCATCTCTCCACCCAACTCAAACTCTGTAACCATTAACCAAGGAGCGAATATAGCCAATAAAGAATTTCTTTTCGAAATTACCAAAAAGTTAAAAGTAGAAGAAAATGAAGATTCTGATAAGAATTGTGTTCCAGAAGCAATCGATTCATTGATTGATTGATTGCGTTGTCTGTGCGTCTCAATCTATATATATATATATTCGTCGAATCCTCACAGTCCCCCAACAATTGTAAGCGAAAATGGCAAAAATTTTGAATGGGTTTGGAATGGTTCCCTGGTTCCACAAAAAGATCGTCGATCCGCTCCTCCATATCCTCCGAAGGTACTTTCTCTCTCTTACTATATACACACACACACACATATTTGTATATACATGTTCTCTATAGAAGTCTTTGATCTAATGTTTTCTTCGCTTGTAGTTGATTGAATCTATCTATTAGTTGTGTACAACTTTATATAATTTTCTTGAGATGTCAACGATTTTTTATCAGATTTATGCTATTTACTGTAAAATACTATCAATCCTAGGTCATTATATATATGTGTATATATATTTATGTATGATTATAATGCTTTATTACTTGGAAAAAGTACTTTGTGTTTAATGTATTAGAAATAATTTAAACTACCTTCCACAACGTATTTAACAATTAAAGAGATCACTTTGACTTTCTAGAATAGGTTGGGATAATTTATTTATTTATTTATTTACTTTTTTTTAAACTTAAAAATGCATTTTCTTATCTGATTTTGCTATCTCAAGATGAAACTTTATTATCATTGGTTTGCTTTTTTAATGTCTATCAAACAATGGGTTGTGAACAGTTCATGATGCATTATTAGTTTTGGCTAGGGGTGCAGAACCGAAGCAATTGGCCTTCTCGGCGGCTCTTGGAATTACCTTGGGAGTATTTCCCATCTGTGGTATGTTGTGATTTTGAACATTTTGGCTTTCTTGTTTCCAAATATCAATCTGCATGACTGTCTACTAAACATTTCCTTTGATTTAAGCAAATGACACTTCTAATTTTATGGTTATTACTATTGGTCTTTAATTCAAGTTGATATGTATTTATTTCAATAATTATTATTGTATGGGATAAGTGTGTTTGTGATTCTAAGATTTTTTTTTGAGCTTCCTGTCATCGAAATGTTTTCAACTTCAGGAGAATGAGGGTTCGAATTTTATAAGTGTTAACAATATTTTATAAGTGTTAACAATATGAGGCTTTTGAAGCCAATGAGTGGGAGGGCTAGCCTAACACTACACAGATCATTTCACTTGTATGAACTCATTAACACTTGATGCATGTGATTGAACAAGTACGGGTTTGAGATGGCTAAGATATTTTCAAGGATGATCAATATTTTTTTTTGACAAGTATACAAGGATGATCAATATTAATATCAGATGAAAGATGTATGATTTTTTTAATTGAGTCATGAAGTGGGTGAAAGCAATGATGTATAGGGCATGGACTATTGGTAGAAGAGTTCTCAAATTGGGGTTCCAGCTGAAGACTTTGCATCTGGTGGGGTAAGAGTGGTGATCAATTGCAAAAAAGCCCTCTCTCACCCGAACTCATCTATTACAGTAAAATACTCATGTCAACGCAAAACAGCACTGAAACTGGTATGGGATATGTGTCGCACATAGCTAGATGAAAAAAGAAGAAGAAGATTGCACCTACTGGAACCTTTAAAATTAGGCTTTTCAGTTATCAGAGTATAGCGTGACACCAAGGGTTAATGATCAACAAAATCAGAGCAAAAACTTTGATAGAAGAGTATGTATATGCCTATATGGTCCAAGAAGAAGAAGCTGAAAATCACATTGCTGGACTTTTTAGAAGTTCTCCTTCATATACGATGCACACCTTCCTTATAAAACCTTTTAAGTTTTATATATTTATTCACATTTCATTTTTTAAATTGTAAAATAACTCCAAAAACTAATAGGTTCTTCAAAAATATCTAATGTTATTCAAGAATACCTACATAGGAGATTTAAATTACCTATTATAATGTCATATGAAATGAGACATGTATGTGGGTTCATTCCATATGTCCAGTTATGACATACCTTTGCTCAATTTTTGGATTCACATTAATTGAGTAACTATATCCTAAACTTTAATAATTAGGTGAGTTGTTGACTAGGCAATTGCTGAAGTAGCTAAAAACATATAACTATGTAGGTTCCAATAGTTATAATGGGAAAATGGATTCCATACATACTTGTACAAATCCCAAGTTGTCGTCATGTTTATAGGCTATATAGTAGAATACATAGTATATCTTATTCCAGAATGAAGGCAGGGACCCTTGTTCATCTCATGCCACTTTAATGTCATGGCATGCTAACAAATTATATATTAGTTTCTTTCCCATATTAGGATCTTTAAATCAGTCTTTAATCTCTATGTGACAAAACAATGAATGGTTGATATATGATTGAGATTGAGAGAAATGGAGACACCACGAGTTACTTATCAAAAAAATAAAAATGGAGATACCATGTGCATGATTTCCAAATATCTAGGAGTAGGATTTTTGTCAAGGAGTTGGTAAACAAGAGAACTGCATGAATTATTTGTTCTTGTTATGGAACCAAATTAGGGAATTTATCTTGATTAAATTGGATATATACATTTAAGAACCACTAAAGCTTTAGGGATTAGTGTATGTTGATAAAAGATGTTCTGCAAGGATCAAATAAAATGTGTTTTTAAGTAGATATTTAAGGACAAATTTTCGTGCGACAGTAAAAGCTTAGGCAACCAAAAGTGAGAATGAGGAGTCGAGTTTGACAGTTGTCAATTTGTTCAGGCAGGTGGATTTGGTCAGGCTTGGAGTCTGCACAGACAGTCTGAGCCAGTCTATCCAGGCGGGACTTAATTTAACCATGAACCTGAGTTGCTCGTGCCAAAGTCCAGCTTAAGCTCAGCTATGCGAGTTTGGGTTAAGGTCGGGTTTTTTTGAAGCCATTTACAGCCCATATGACCTGACCTTTATTTGGTCCATTACGATAGGTCCAACTCAGCTTTTATGACAAGGATATCAAATACTGGAGATACACTCATTTATGTGAACCCATTAGAAGAAGAAAGTGTGGTTTGAGATGGCTAAGATATTTTTTTGGGGAGATCAATGATTACACGAAGTTAACATACACATGCTATCTTGAATTGAGGTTTGTAGTGGGTGAAAGAGAGGATGTGTAGGACATGGATTATTGGAAGAAGAGTTCTTGTACTGGGTGCTCCAACTGAACACTTTTTTTTTTTGTTCCTGAATCCAACTGAACACTTGAATGGTGTAGTAGTTTTCTTGTGGTCCACTGCAACCAGGCCCAAAGAGTCGTTGGTTCAGTTAGCTTGGAACATATAACCATGAAGGTTTTGTTTGGTATGCATGGAATGGGGATACCAAAATGATATATATTAATCCAAAATGAAGGAAGATGTCCTTTGAGTTTATCTTTATGGAGATTGTTGTAAGTTGGTTATTGAAGCCTTATTTGTCTCATATTTCTTAAATTCTTCAATGTCAAAACATTATTATCTTCATTTCCAAGATTCTATCTTCTGGTGATCATGACATTTAGATCACTGTTTTTGTTATGTAACTATCACTATCACAGTCTAACGAGATTGGGAGTATCAAGCAAGGTGTAACTAGAAACTAGTATTGATGATATGCTTTTTGTTAATCACTTGTAACAACAACAATTATTCCCAAGAATCCTGTTCAGATTCATGAGAGATAGGGAGAGAAAGAGAGAGAGAGAGAGATAGTGAGAAAAATGTATCCTTGTGTATATTGTCAATCTGCAGCCCTCTAAATAAGGCTTATATAAGAACAAGGGTTAGACACCCTAATTACATAATTACACAATAACCCTAACCCTAACTACTATGGGTAATTACATAATGACCCAACACTATAAAGAATATACATTCTAACACTCCCCCTCAAGCTGGAGAATATATATCAAATAATCCTAATTTGGAATAGATAGTCCTTAACCGATTATGACCCAGTGCTTTGGTAAACATATCAACTAGTTGATCTTCAGACTTCACAAATGGAGTAGAGATGCTACCACTTAATATTTTTTCCCGAGTAAAATGACAATCAACCTCAATATGTTTGGTTCTCTCATGAAACACAGGATCCGATGCAATGTGAACTGCTGCTTGGTTATCACAGAACAATGGAGTAGGAGTTTCAACTGTCAACTCAAGTTCTTTTAGAAGATTTTGTATCCATGTCAACTCACTAGTGGTATGTGCCATTGCCCTGTACTCAGTTTCAGCACTAGATCGAGCTACCACCGTTTGCTTTTTACTTTTCCACGTAACAAGATTTCCTCCTACAAATGTACAGTAGCCTGTAGTAGATCTCCTATTTGAAGGAGAACCAGCCCAGTCAGCATCTGTAAAACCTTCTACCCTGAGATGACCATTTGAATGGTATAGTAACCCAAAACCTGGAGCTCGCTTGAGATATCGGATAATCCGAAGAACAGCAATCCAATGTGGCATTTTAGGAGCTCCTATAAACTGACTTATAACGCTAACTGCATATGAAATATCAGGTCGAGTGATAGTGAGGTAAATTAATTTCCCAACAAGGCGACGAAATCTGCCTGGGTCATTAAATAGATCACCCTCATCAGACACAAGTTTTGTATTTGAATCCATAGGAGCATCAACCGGACGACCGCCTAACATACCCGTTTCTTCTAGCAAATCTAACACATATTTTCGTTGAGATAAACTTATACCTTCCTTGGATCTAGCAACTTCAATACCCAAGAAGTATCTAAGTTTACCCAAGTCTTTAGTGTGGAATCGATTTTGCAGAAACAACTTCAACTTAGCAATGCCTGCAGACAAGAAAGATGAAGCTAGCTTTAGTGAGCAGGTGAAATACCGAATGATCGGTCTGGCATTTGTTAAGACCAAATTCTGATGCCGCCTCAGAGAATTTCCCAAACCAAGCCCGTGGAGATTGTTTCAATCCATACAGGGCCTTTTTAAGGCGACAAACAGTGTGACGATACTCCCCCTGAGCAACAAACCCAAGTGGTTGCTCCATATAAACTTCTTCAACCAAGTCACCATGTAAGAAGGCATTTTTGACATCCAATTGGAACAACGGCCAGTTATAATTGGCAGCAATGGAAATAAGAATCCGAATTGAAGAAATCTTAGCAACCGGAGAAAAAGTCTCATCATAGTCAACACCATAAGTCTGAGTGTACCCTTTTGCCACTAGACGAGCCTTCAACCGCTCAATAGATCCATCTTGAAGGTATTTAACTGTGTAGACCCACTTACAACCAACCGGTTTGGAGCCCGGAGGTAAGGGAACAAGATCCCATGTTCCATTACGATGAAGGGCATCCATTTCATCTACCATGGCTTGCCGCCAACCCAAATTAGAGAGAGCATCCTGCAATGTCTTTGGAACAAAAGTAGCAGATACTTTGGATAAAAAATAAGATAAAGAGGATGAAATATGACGATAAGAGACAAAGTTAGAAATGAGATGTGCAGTAACACACGACCGAATACCTTTATGAAGGGCAATAGGCAAATCATCAGGTAAAGGCGTCGGATCCGAAGACTATGAAGGAGATGGAGGGAGCGAAGTAAGCGGTCGAGGTAGTCGAGTATAAACCTGCAATGGAACAGCAGACCGAGGTGCGGAAACAGGAAACTGAGAGGGAACCGATGGCAGAGGTGGCTCAGAAGTAATATCGAGAGGACTAGTAGAATCAGAAAAATATGGGATAGACTCAGAAAATGTTACATCAGCACTAGTGAAATAGCGTTGGAAATGAGAACTGTAACAACGATAACCCTTCTGAGTGCGTGAATACCCAAGAAAAACACATTTAGTTGCACGAGGGTTGA